ATTGGGCCGTGCAACGTTGCCCAAGGTGCCCGCCATGCCAGCTGGTCCTGCGGAGCCAGTCGCAACGGTGGCGCCGGAGCCAGCAGACTCGACACTGCTTTTTACAGACAGGTCCTTCAGTAAGGCGAACATGCCATCACAGGTCATCAAATTTTTCCAAGGGTTGGAGCGCGACTTCCGGGAGGCTGGAAGTCCCTTCGTGACTGACTCCGGCATGGTATCTCTGCATGGCAACCGCCAATGTCCTTGGGAGAGCCTTCTTCAGCGCATACCAACACTTCTCTTCGCCAGCTTTGACACACTTCAAGGATACCGGTTCTCCCAGGCGGTCCACCGCCAATTGGTGGCGTGCTTGCCGTCAAAAGGTAGCTTGGCGTTAGATGTTGTAACGATCCTTCCTTAAGGTGATGAGGGTGATATTTATGAGAATTTCCAGATTCCTGAGGCTCTGCTGGGAAGGCCGCTTTGCATGAGCTGCTGAGCAAGGTTCACAAGCACACGCCAGACGTGGCAAGGGTGACAAATCCCAATGTGTGATACATGTAGAATACGTAGAATACGTAGATCATGTAGCATCCAGGTTCTGTAGCCACTGTAGCGCGGATGATGCGGCCATGGGCGCCAAGCTTAGGGCACACAGGACATCGAGGGTAATCGGAGTCCTGATTTTCGATTCTGAATGCAAGCCACTGCATGCAAAGCGCATGCGCGGTGAAGCCTCTGCTCTGAATCGTCAGGATCCCCAAATAATTAAACACAAATCGAAGCGTCAACCCTGTAGGAATTGCGCGTCATCCGTTTTAGAGTTACTCAGTGTTCGTGAGACTTCTGAACCAAGGACGCGTTGGGGCGCACTGGGGTAAAAAAGTCTGGGTCTCTCACTGGTGTATCTGATGTGCTTTGCTTTTTGCTGACTCCCTGAAGAGAATGCTACGAGGCTTGCCATTTGTTAGAGTGGCTACACCCCCCCATGAAGTTTCAATTCAGGGGAAATAGACGGCCGCCTATTTCCAGACCCCCCCCACCTCCCCCCCCCCTTAGGGGGGGGGAATACTCTGCACTCGAACGTGAGAATGATTATGGTTTGGACATGTGTGCTCGCACATGAACCTTAGCATGGTTTGGGCATGCATGCTCTGGCCAATGGATGCTCTTTTGAGCCTGTGTGCTGTGGCAAATGGATGCTCTCAAACATGACTTTGTATGGTTTGGGCATGGCCTCTATGGTTCGGGCATGTGTGCCCTGAGAGTCGAATGCTGCAGAAAAAGCGCGTCATTGTGGCTTGGGCATTTTTGCTTTCGGAAATGCATTCTCTCGGCTGCGTGGCTGCGTCATGCTGAAACTACAAGCATCAAACATTAAGCCAGCGCTAGTGCGCAACATTACGTGGCAGCATCTCATTCCCCCTGACAAACCTAGCAACCCTAGCAAAATGCAGCTACCTTCGTCCAAAACCTCAACAAAGGCAAGGTGCCGGCCGCGGTCTACTGCTGCTGCTGCCGCCCCTACTGCTGCTACTGCTACTGCCATTACTATTACTACGACTGCCACTTCGACGAGCTTGCACCATAGCCGACAACCCTGTTTGATGACAACTTGTACGCCTAGAAAATAGATCTGGCTGTAGTCAACTCGTCTTGGCAGCAGAAATTGCTAGGCCTGAATGTCTTGATGTTTTCTGCTTTCAGCCTGTTAGAGTGCACAGTTTCTCAGAGCCTGTTAGGGTGTACAGTTTCTGAGGGCTTCGTTGCTGCATAGCAGTTTTGCAGCATAAGCTTTTTTTGATCCTTCCTATGAGAAGGTATTTTCTTGTTTTGATAGTGCTGAGCCCCGCTCAGCCGTGGAAATCAAGAACACAAGTGCCGTAAATTCTACTATGGAATGCTACCAACGAAGAAAGAAGGCGAAACGGGTATAAACTGCCAAGATGACATTGTTAGCAAAGTGCTGCACATGCAAGCAAATTGGGCTCTAACAACCAGACACACGCACAAATATGCACAGAAAGGCAATTCGTCCAACGTCTGGAATACTTATGAGTACTAGTAACCGAAGTCCTCAAGGAGGGGACGCAGTAGGCGTTGGAGCAGGAGTCGGAGTACTAGTACCGTGTACTAGTACCATTAGTAGTGGCAGCAGTGGTAGTGGTAGTGGCAGAAGCAGCAGCAGTGGCCCGGATCTGTTTGCTCTGTCATTTAATGGCCTGAGCTGCAACAGGCAAACCGACAACGTCATCGTTTTCGACGACTTGCTAGCGATGCTCCACGGCTGCAGACACACGTCAAACCTTGCGCACGGTAGATGACAGTACGCTTTGAAATCGAATTGAAGGAAGCGTTGCCCACGCAAGGTCTACCTGCCACCTCAACGCCCTCTTGACGAGCCACTACTGCCAGGATGCAGCAGAGCTTGTCTTCAGCGGCTGTCATGTTACAACTTCAGCTTCCAGAGGTGTTGAGGTTTGGGTAAGGCTATATCTTGAAGTCGGTTGAAGTTGCAGGACTGGAGATGGCTGCTGCGGGACCCTGCAAAAGCCCTAGGCGGGCACAGCGGAGGGATTCGCTCTTATTGTGACATTGACTGCGGAGCGTTTCAACCACAACAGGTGGAGGACAGCAAGGAGATAACAGGGAGAGCCGGAAGGAGGGATGCATGGAGGGGTCGAGATGGGCACAGACAGGGAGAGAGACAGAGACCACTACGAAGCTGCCTAGCCACTAGTACCTAAAGATGATCAATTACGAGGTATAGGATGCGCGGCAATACTTAGCACTGACGGACAGAGAACCTACGGAGGACGATAACAAATTCTTGGCAGCAATGCTTGCGACAAGTGGAGATGCTTTTAGAAAAGGAGAAGACAGCGGAGGCAGTGCGAGACTACCTGGACCGCATGAGGTGAGCACAAGCCTGGATGAGCACTACCATATCAGGAGGAAGAAAGACAATGCACGATCGTTTCGAGATAATTCTGTTGATGAAGGAAATCTTGCACCACCTTACATTCCCCAAATCCTAGGAAATACAGCATTTCAAGTGGTGCAAGGTTGCATTATCAGCCGTATGACCATAGGGGACAAGGAGCACCCAGACAGAGGTGGCAGGTAACAGCCCACGAATTCAAAGCGGGAAAGCTGACAAATTATGAGGCTAAAAATTCTGAGGCAGAATTGGGCAGGCAGCTAGGCAAATCAGCCCCAACAGATGGAGGGGGAAGCCTACATAATTTTTCCCTCGATACCTTGCAATGCAATGTTTTTTCCTACAAAGATTTGAAATGGGGGGAGACCACCTGTAACTGTTCCCTTCATGTAAATATTCAGAAAGAAGCATATACATCAAAGGGAGGCTCACCTGCGACCTTGAGAGGCCAACCCAGTTCACTCCTGCAACAAGGGGCAGGCGAATCGCCAAGACAAAGCTAATCAAGAGCATATACTGCACAAAATGTCATGTTTAGGGAGGTACGCATCCTGACAAGGGTTGGGCGTCTCTGCTTGTTTTGTTTGGTTCCTCTTGTCGGTAGAGTAAAGTATGAATGAAACTGAACATGACTTGTTTGCCGCAGCGGGGTTGTACAGCCAGCGCAGTCCCCCAGGCAGGAGTCCAGGCAGGGTGGGTAATAAGATATGCATCGCAGGCACGGAACATGAAAATGAAAGATGCGAAGCTTCGTGCACAAAGAAGGAGTCAGGCTGGTGCAAGGGTGAGACTCGCCAGAGGGGGACGTGTGACCGGGGACTGGAGGATGAGGGTTGAGAGAACCATCCGAAGCTGTACTGGAAAGCCGGCCCTATTCTCCAGGAATTACGCCGTGGGCATATGATGTGTAGATTGCTGCAAGACCAGCAAGCACGCAACTTCAGCCCCAACTTGGTTTTGTTCATCATCTCACTGTTGCGTTCCAGAGAAAAGTGCCTCGGTGTCCATTCAAGTTTTTGCATATAGGGCACCTGTTTGCACCCTATCCTCACAACACTGGGGGGGCATCAAGCGCAAGCAGACGCCAAAGAATTACACGGAAGGAAGAGAGAGAGAGAGCGGCAAGCGAAGCCCTACACGGGCTGGGCAGGACGCCCGGGGGGACCCCATCAGGGGTCTCTCCAGAGCCCAATGAAAGAAAGAAAGAAAGAAAGCGGCAGGCGAAATGCTCAACGTCGTTTAGCTGCGTTTGCTTCCACAACTTCAGGTCGCAGCAGTGTGCGCGGACTTGTTCTTAGTCTTGGCAGGTCTCCTAAACGAGATGGAGACAGAGGCCTGGCAGGCCACGCTCTCCTTCTTCTCGGAGGAGAGGTGGCGGAACTTCGTGTACAGCATCTTGACCCACTGAGACATGTGAGGCTTCCAGGATTTCCCAGGTTTTGAGTGCCAAGCAGTTCTTTTTCTTGAAAACATCGAAGCAAAAAAAAGTGCTGGTCAGCCTAGGGAATGCTGACAGACCAATGTAAGAGAAAGTTGGCTGATGTCTCTGCTAAGGAGAAGGCGTGACCAAAGAGATGGTCAGAGATAATATCATTTGCAACTGGACAGCAGATGCCTAGCGCTTCTTGGAGTTTCTTGTGAATGCAGAGCCTGCCATGCAGTCCCGCGCCGCAAATAGTCAATATCTCAGGCGGTTTCAACTCGCCACCCTCGCAGTTTCAGCACCTTGGCTGTGTACAATGGCGCACACATGGCAAGAACTCTGACTACAAAAGCACTTGTAGTAAGCGGTTCTTCCCCTACATCATGTTTTCGTGACTTGCGCATGTTGCTGCCATCTGGCAAGCAGGATGAGGGTGTTCCTCACACCGCCTCAGCCAGGTTGCATTTGCAGTGGATTGTGCTACCACTGATGCCCTTCCACCAGACGAAGCTGGCTAGCAAGAAGAATGGTTCCACATATTTGGTATGTGCCGCAGACGACGGATGCTTATGCGACAGCCAGATTGAATGATTCAGTCTACGGTTTACTGCAGAGCGGATCGTAACCAGAACCTGCGCAAAAGACTTAGGAAACTTCTGGACGGACTGCATGCCCAGCGAGGCAGGTGGTTTCCTCTGGAGTATGTCCCGCACTGAGACCATGAAAGATCGGTTGTACAGCCAAAGAATCCAAAGAGAATTGGAACAGTCAAGACCATGCAAAGGTTAAAAAGATCCTGGACGAGCTCGTTGCCGAAGGGAAAACGTTCGACATACGCGCGGACACACCTGTTGACGAAATCATCCAGTATTTCAACAGAAAAGGTGTACTCTACGAGGAGCCGGGTCAGACATAGAGCAGCCATGCCTCACTATTTTGGGCAGCCATCAGGCTTTCCACACCTGCAGCAAATATTTCTAGAAGAGAAGATGAGCCATTCCTTGGACAGTATACTCAAATAGCCAAAAGGCTTCGGTCAGACTTTCAAGTTGCCAGGAAGTCTGGGCAGAGTGCTACCGGAAGTACTGCGCCAGCTATGCGTTGAGCAACTGGAAGGCTGGCTTCGGGCACGCAGGGCATTAGGAAGTCAGCCATAAGAAATTGGAATAGTAGCTGTGACAATTGTTCATCTGGTGAAGGCCGAGGACTTCAAATACGTGGTCCTCCATGGGCAAGTGCATGAAATTCAGGCTGGGCCCGCATGCCGCCCAACATCATGTGCCTGTATGAAAGTAGTTACAGCAGTGCATGGCCACAATGATTCAACTCAAGCTGCTACGGGTCGCTCCGAGCCTGCGCGTGGGAATCTGCAAGCCGCTCCGCAGGAGGTTCTACCGGGACGCCGCGTGCGTGTGGGCAATATGCTCCACCTGGATCCCGCAGCCAGGCTGCACTGTGACGCAGGGCAGAAGTGCGGACAGCGACCACACGAGCAGTTATCCAGAACCTTGATTATACATGAAGCTGTCCTGAGGTCAACCTCCATAACGAAGATAAGATGTTGCTCCAAAACTACGGCCGCCGTATAGAGAGTGACGGCAAGCCATCCGGCACGTTTCTTGGTGGCAAGATGAATCTGGCGGGATGGGCTGCGAGGAAGGGTTCGAATGACGGCTCCCAGTTGACGGGCACATGCTGTCACATAGAGAGAGAGAGAGAGAGAGAGAGAGAGAGAGAGATTGACACTTTTGTTTTCCGACGGTAGGATGAGGGAACCTCTGCTTAGGGAACCACTGGTTTAATGATGGCAATGGAGGGGACCACTACGTGCTGTTGCCTTGTTGATTGTTACGACAATGCAGGCGCGAAGGGAGTGGAGGTCAACTATGCAATCCCGGAACCACTGTGATAATGCTGTTTGGTTACCCACGTTTGCTCGGGATCGTATTCATGTTCTACACCTTTGGTATAGGAACCCATGGGAAAACCCTCGCAGTCTCAATTAGCAAGACTCTCAACTCGGATGCATGGGCAGGGCTCAGGCCCAGTGGGTCCGCCCACCATTCCCCTAAGCAAAGCAAAGCAAAAGTAATGCTTCAAGAAGGCTACGCTTGGCATGACAAGACTCACCAGACCCAGGTACTATAAGCATTACAAGGCGTTGAAGATCGGAGACGGAGGGCCGCTTGGCCTACAACTTTGAGACGAACACTTCACATGCTCACGCTCGGATTGCGACAGTCCAGCCAGCAGATATTTATAGCAAAGGTGGGTAGGGCAGCTTTGCTAGGCTGACCTGACGACAGTGTGTTGCATCGCTGCTTCGCGCGAAAGTGCCCTGAAAGCCTCCGCAAATTTAGCGTTGAGAGCGCGTCAGTTAGCATGCTGGCATGCTCGAAGTTTGATTTTGCTGTTAGCTATCATCCATATCTTCAGTCTCTGATGCATTTCAGATCTTGTTACTGCCTCACCCTGAGGATACAGATCTGGCCGGGCTTGGAACGATAAGTTCACAGGCCTCTCGCTGCTCAGGCCATGTTGTTGCAATGATCTGCATTGGAATTGGATGTATTATTGTGATTTCTACGAAAAATAGTAAGAAAATATGAATAGTACAGTACTACTACAATTACTTTTGCCACCTACTGTCCTGCAAAAGAAAGCTTAGGCCAGAAGATGCCAAGTTGTGACACCCCTGGTGAGCAGCATTAGCCTCAGATTTCTGGATTGTCGTGAAGTGTTTAGGGTCTAGGGTTTAGGGTTCGTGTTTGTTGAGGTGCCCAAGATATAACAACAAGGATTTGCCAAAACCAAATCAGTACTTGTTTAGGGGCTCCTAGCTTAGAGTAGGGTTATGGCTAGTGTTCAGTTTGACGTGTTTCTTTTCTCTTCTGATCCCAGGAGCGCACAGCGCCAGCGAAGTAATTGCGTTTCTGAAGAAACTCATACAGCGCTTCTTTGGCAGGACACTGCCCAGTCGCTAGTTGGCAGGGCAAGGTCCTTGTAGCTGATTCTCTCTAAAGCCCGAGCTCGCACCTGGAAATCTTCAAGGCAAAGAGAGCAGAATTGGATGTGGGACAGCTAGCCACGCCGCATACGGCCAAAACAGCAGGCAAGGGCTCAATGGGCAAGCTCAGGCAAGCTTCCGCGGTGAATTGAACAAACAGTTGTATCCATCAATGCCATCATTTTAGATCCTGCCTGGCCAATTGCATCCTAAAGCCAGCTTCCTCTCATTGACGCCAAAGGAGCTCATAGCCAATTCGCATCAATTCACCCTCGAAGCAGCCTTTGCAGGGCGTGTGCCGTTTTGGTAGTGTAGGTGTGTCCACAAGCAGGAACCTGTAAAGAAATCTCCTGATGTGGATCGTAATGTACCCATACATGTGACCGTTCTCCCTTTGGTTGCCGGTTCGGCTACTGCCCTCAAACGGGCAGTAACTTTTGCTTTGTCATCGGCAGCCATATGAGAGTGGAGGTGGGTCGTTTCACGGCTGCCCAATTAATCCTATGGAGCCCACCGGCAGCCCAATGCTCCCAAAACAACCGTGCAAATCAAGGTCGTGCAAAAACAGAGTGGTTTTAAGTTTCTTCTGTATCAAGCTGATTTCAGTCTATGCTGTGGGTGCGTTTGATCGTGTTTTCCGCCGCCTTCTGCGACAAAATCTGAAGGCTAAAACCGTTTGTAAGGCCCAGGTGCTGATTGCATGGGCCGAGATCCTACAACCTAAGCAGCAGCTGGCGCACGCACTAGCATGTGGCAGGAAGCACTTGAACCGGCGCCGCTACCTTCAGCAGCTGTCTTGCCGAGAATGCTTGGACGTTTGCGCCACGCATTCACCAGCCCTCTTCCCTTAAAGAAGTTACCCGTAACTCGAACAGAGAATATGCAACCCAAAATGTGTTCTGTTGAAAAGCGTGCTTTCCCTGTGTCCAGATAAATTGTGACCGGTCTTCCACAATTAAGGGACCTGGGCAACCTGCTGGCATTTCATCATGCCAGGTGTGGATGCACATAGATCTTGCTGGCTGATGCAACCTTAGCTGCGGCTAGTAGCGGCCGTTGCATCCAGCTCGGCGTGATTTACGGCACGGCAAATGCTGACCGTTACAGCAGAGATGCAAAGAAGCCCAATCAGTGAGCAAGCACGGCCATCGACAAAAATATGTGCGCAGGAATCTTATGTAAACTTCGGCTACTTGGCTCGCCGAGCAGCAAGCAGCGTAAGTGGACATTGAATAGTTGAACAGCCAGCATTGGCTGACAGGTGCGTGAGTGCGCTGAGATGAGGCTTGGTGAGCTCGGGACACAGTTAGCGCCAGCAGCAGATTGGATTGTTCATGACTTCACAACTGCACGCCACCTATATCAGGGATGTTTTCGTCATTTCTTGATTTGGCCACAGCTATGCCACTTGTGCGGTCTTGTGCTACATTTCGCGATGAGAAGACCCGTTGCACTGAGACATCATGCCGCCAGTGAGCAGCACGCACCGATATTGTTTTCCTTCAAATTTACAGTCTTGGATACACGCATCTTGGGGCCCTCACTGGGGCGGTTCCTGGCATGGCCCGGCGCGCCGTTGCATGGCTGCGAAATGACCTGCGCCTACACGACAATGTAACTGGATCGAAAAGACACCTCCGATAGCAAATGGCGTCGTATTCCAAACATTCTGCAGCACAGAAGCTAACATCTTGCCATCAAGTTACCTCTGTGGCTTCATGACTTCGTGGCACACGGCATGTCTGAGTCACGTGACTGAAGTGAGGCGGGAGGTTACCAGTAGGGTTCTTGACGGTGCCTCACGACAAGAAGAGCCGATTTGCCCCGCGGCTGATTTCTCCGATGTGCGTTGTGTGCCTGTGCAAGCTCAGGAACTTCTACATGTCAAAGGGCTCCGCGAAGCTTCTGAACTCCTGATAGTGCCGCTTGTTAAAGGAGAAGATCAGGAAGATTAGCAAGGTTAGCAAGCGGGCGGAGCATTTGAGTTCCTGATGCTCAGAATATCTTTTCATTATGAGCAGCCATGGCAGGCTTGTGGTCATCCTGAAAGCAATCATGTTTTGCTGTGGCCCAGGTATTGCGTTGATCCACGTCATTGGGAGCCAAGCCCCTGGGGAGACCACCTCCGGTGTGGACCTTTCAGGACATGCATAAGTTCTGACGAGTCCCAGATTGTTGGCGGATTGGAGTTCCAGAACACAGGGTTCGAAGCATTTCAAGGCACGCGGGTTCAGTGCATTTCGATTGAGACATAGGCCAGGTTTGGTGTTGGAGGCAGATGAGTTGCCGTGATGTTGGTTGGGATAGCGCATCCATATTAGTAGTTGATGGCACTGCCCGGGGAAGCAGCACAAGTGAATGCTCTGAAAAGGTAGTTCAGCAGGTAGCACCTGAATACGGCCTAGCTCTGAAAATCCTTGCAACTGCAGCATTAAGAAGATCCATGTGTGCAAGCGCGTGCTATCCGATCTGCTTGGAGAGGAGCCGGTTGATTGCAGAATCCCTGGAGGCAGAGCACCGAGTATCCCACTTCCAAATGCAGCAGCGTTTCTGAAGAATCTACATGTTTCCTTGCTGGTAGCCCTTCTCCTTACCGCAGGAGCTTGCCGCATCGTTGAGCAGACTTGACTCAAAGCTGGTGGTTTATGCTGGTCGCCCAGAAGAGGCTTGGTACCGACAGGGACGGATGACGATAGATGGCAAGGGGATGCCAAGCCGGAACTTGCCAGGCAAGATACTAAGTCTCAGACCCCTAAGGTCAACCTAAGCTAGAGGCATTCCTGACCAGTCGGATCTGAAGTCCCCATTCTCAGCTTGACAGGTGCTTCCGAAACTTCTGCCCTCAGGGTCTCTGCTAGTATACCAGGCCGGACTCTGATAATGAGACGTAGGAAGGCAGCTTTGTCAAAAGCCAAAGGCTTGCTCGGAGACCTGCGCTGCATGCCAGGCGGAGGACACATATGATGAGCAGCAAGTGGAAGCGGCAGGGGCACATAGCCTCCAGGGACAAGCTCTTGCTTGTGACGTTGTTCCCCGTTTGACACACTCTGTGCTTCCAGCACCTTACTCTTGAGGCCATTGACGCAAGGCTCCAAGCTGATGTGGAGGTTCGCCCGACAGGGTTCGTGCTTGACTAGCCAACAAAGCATTTGCTACTGCACATGTCTTGGTTTAAGCTACGACTCTGTCTTGCAGATGTGCGCAGACTAGTAGACGGTATGATCAAAGCATATCAAAGCTAAGTATCGGCAGAACATTCTCTGTAGCAGTCTCAGGGAAGGTCAGGTAGCGGTTTCCCACCAAATCTTACCAGTAGCATCAAACAGTTTGAAACTCATGGCACCTACGCCTTTTATGACCCAAGGTGCATCGCTGCTTTGGCCCGGGTCCAAGCTGCGAGCCAGCCCAGCGACAGACTGCCTCCTTTGCCTTCGGCCATTTCCACTTTCGTTCGTGTACTTGCCAAGGGCAGACCCTCCGACATCGCGCAGATTTAGGTTTCGCCCCTCTGCCGCACGGAGGCGGTTGGTTGTGCAGTGGCAAACCAGTTGGCCCGGCAGCCACAGTGCATACTGTACTGTTGCAGCGTGGCTGAGGATGTTGGCGAATGGTTGCCACTTCCCTTTGGCAAGTTGCCTGGGCTCTGAAGTCAGATGGTATGCTACAGGAGCAGGGGCCACATACACCAGTGTCAATTGCCTTCGGCTAGTGGTCCATGCAATTTCACAACAACTGTCGCCAAACCAGCTGGCCAGCATGTCAGGTTTTACCACGAAACGTGTGCGGCTGTAACTCCGCGCAGGGAGCTCCCAGCACCAGGCATCAGCCTTGAGGAACTGCTGAAGGTAAAGAGTTCTGTCCCATGTGTGACGTGAGCATCTTACATCACGGAGGCGCAAGACACAACCTGGATATTTACCAGGTCAAAAATTCCTCTCTTGCGTTGCGTATTGCAAGCAGGCCTGCGTTGGCATTTTTGTATTGTCGGCATTCGCTCTGCTAGCGACCTCACCCCTGGCGCCGCCGTCACCGCCGCCGCCGCCGCCGCAGCAGCAGCAGCAGCAGCGCCACCAGCGATTTGAAGAGCAGTGCGGAATGCCTTCTGATTCATACTTCCAAGGTGCACACGTATCGTTTAGCATACCCACTCGCATGTTTTACAGCACCTGACAAGGTGAGTTTGTTTCTTGATGCTGCTTCTAGCTTGGAAACAACCGTCTTTTGCTGCGTGCGCGATTGCAGGGCGAGGACAGTTGCCACAGTCGAGAGACGTGATCATCGATGGGCTTGCGACTTGGCTGCAGCTCCTAGCTGTTTGTCAGCATTGCTCGAAGAAATCATCATCACCATCGGTCACTACATAGCGATTCTCTTAGAATTGCTATGCCGAATGAAAGTGGCGCTGGCGACAGCAACGACGACATTGAAAAATCTAGTGCCACTTGCGAGTTTGCGACATCTCGGCCATTCTAGGGAAAATGCGGGTCGTGATGTTGGCGCCGGTGTAGAGAGGGGGCAAGTCCAACCTGGATGTCCAAGCCTAAATGAGGACATAGTTGAGCCATCGGCTGGCCCCATCCTCAAGGCCATGGGATTCAGCCCAGCCGCTGGGCATTGGATTGGTGACTTCTGGAGCGCTGCATGTCACATACAGCTTGAGACAGCACCGCTAGCTATTCAGTGGCTGCCAGGGAAAACTCTGCTCAATTCACTGCTGCTTCAAGAGAATTCCTGCCAAGTATACATGAGTTTTTTCACGGAGGAGCCCATGTTATTGGATCACAGATAAAGTCGGATAGAGGTGATTTCTGTCGTTCAGGGTTCCGTTTTCTTTTCAGAACCACCGCACGCTGCAAGGGCTTGCTGGAGGAGCCTGCAGCTGGAGACTTCCAGTGGCGTGGCGGGGAATCGGAGGCCTGGAGTCTTGACTGACCTGGGCGATACAGGACAAACTCACCTCAATTCAGCTGACATGCATATATCCTGGTCCAAGATCAAGGAAACAGCTGGAGTCGTACTACATCAAGACAGGACTCTCCATGCTTCGCGGTGGCTAGCCTTGAGTGACTTGAAAGCCTGTCCTAATGCGCAGGGTATGCTAGGTTCACGCAGCTGTTGCAGGATTGGGACGATACCAGCAGACCCGGAACCAGTTGCACTGCCACTGCAGCAGCCGCCTCTCTCCTTGGATGGCTGTGGGCTGCCTTTCCCCTCGCTCTGTGTACTGGCGCGCAGTACAGACACCAGATGGCAATAATCTGCAATTGAGTGTGCTTGGCAGTGATGACTGGCCATACAAGTTATTCCCCAAGTCTTTGCCCATCTTTGCCCCATGCCTCATTTTCTGAGTAGGTTTGAGCGCGAGAATGGCAAGGACAGTGCCTCAAGGCTGCATTCAGCAAAGCAGCAGAAGGCCACATGACAGTCCAGAATTGCTAAAATGGTTCAACGCAAGCAAGCGTGAGGTTCCTGAAGTTGGGCAAGCCCCCCTTGTCAGGATAGGCGCTTCGACCATGTCCAGAAATTCATCTTCCAGCTGTGCTGGCGAGACTACTTCCACTTCTACTGAGCCCTGGCAGCTTAAGTGGTGTAGCTCCATCCTAAGGCATGAGTCAATTTCAGCCTCCAAGCAGGTGCCCACTTTGGCCGGAGGGTCTTCTTCCTCTCAGGCCCAGCACGACGAGCGCGCTCTTGGAGGTAGGGTGGATGTGGAGTCTGCAAGTTCGACACGGCTCGTTCGCAGGTCAGGCCCTGCTTGGTCTCAAAAGGCCCCCAAGCATTGACCATCCTGTGATCTGCGTTGCGACCGCGCGTAGACAGAGATTCCCCTCACCAGCAGAACGCATTAGTGTGACTGCCGCAGTCATATCATGGAAGCAGCAGCAGCAGCAGCAGCAGCAGCAGCAGCGCAGCGTCTGTAGTAGAAGAGTACTTAGTGGTGTTGAAGTAGTGTTGGCAGGGGGGCACAGGTAGAAACAGGAATTAGTAGTCGTCGAAGTTGCAGGGGGCGGGGCAGGAGGAGCAACAGCAGAGATACATTCAATCTCCTGCCCAAAGGCACTGGCCAGAAACTGCCCTGAAAGACCTTGTGTTTGAGAGAAGCGAGAACTTGGCTGAGCGGAGACTGATTTCTCGAACCCGTGTCGAAATCACGCAAAGCAGCAGCTTGCACATGCATGCGCCTACACCACTATCAAAAGCTTACGCGAAGCAGTTGCGACAGTTCAAGCCCGCATCAGGCGACAGCAGATAAACAGATAATGCACATGAAGCTTGATGAGCTGTCGATGGATTGCTTATACAGGAGGGATGCGGCCACTGAGCAGAGCTGGAAGCAGGGAAGGACCTGCCTGCAATTTCCAGAAGGGCACCAGCCAGACTGCTTCTCAAGTAATACACGAATTGGCATGGATGCTTGGAGGACAGGCGTGCCCTTGGTGGATGCACTCATGAGGGAGTTGGCCGCAACTGGTTTCATGGCCAATCGAGGCCGTTGCTTGTCTGAAAGTCTCGTAGTCTTGACCTTCATAAACCTTAGCAAGATGTTGAGCCTGTTGAACTTTGCTGAGGCTACATTGTTGCGTCATACCTGATACACTACCTCAACATCGATTGGCGAGTAGGTGCTGACTGGCTTCTCGGCTCAAGCGAGTCCGGCATAATCTGGTTTCCCACTTATGTTAGGGTGCATTTTGTGCCTGGACATTAGTTCGAGAAGATATGGCGCAGCTGATCCAATGACCAAGGTTTGAAAGCCTCCTCCTGGATCACGACGTGTGCTCCAACTATGGCGGGGCTGGGGCTGTTCAAGGATTCTTCCAAAGACTGAAGCCCAGCCCCATGAAAGCCCGGACAGACTCTACCTGCATGTTGTCCAGATGCATTCCAGCCATAGGTCTCCAAGCAAGACCCTTATCCTTTAGCAACAAGTGCTGAGTAAAGGGGAATGGGCATCAATGGCAAACATTGCGGTCGATCTTGGCGAGCCTCACACGCATGATACGAGTGGGACCGGTTGGCTGCGTGCAAGTCATGAGAGCACCCACCATGCAAAGCCGAGGACAAGTATCCTTTGGGCTTGAAGGGGCGTGGCCCCACGGGGGGTCGCCGGCCTGGCGCGACGCTTGGCAAAGATTTCTTGGAGGGAACGTGCATGCAGTGTGGGAAGACGCAGTTGAATCAGTCCTGAATCCTGACACTTTGTCGAAGCGGCCAGTCTCCCACAATGCTCGGACATAGTGCTCAGGCGCGGTGGTGGTGGCGATCCCTGGGCCAAGGGTGCCAGCTGGCAGCAGTCGATAGGCTTCAGAATTAGGAGACCTTGCAGGGACAAGTACTTCCCAATTAGGCACGACAGGCATCAAGTGGTTCACAAGTGTGCTTTCGGCCGTGCCTGCTGCGGCCATCCCGGAGCAAATTCCAAAGCGCCTTCAGGTGGACCTTGGGGACACGGTCTTTGATCCATTTGAGCAGGTGCAGTGAGAAACCTTGTGCGATCTTGACAATTCAAGGGGTTGGGTTCTTTCATTGCGGCCCGGCTGTGAGAATTCGTATGACAGGCTCGCCAGTACGACCGCGATGAAAGCTACGTGAGGCATGGAGCCAGGTAAGCCATTTATCTTTAAGAATGCATGTCAACGCAGGCGTTGGCTTCCGGAATTGCGGTCCGCTCCTGCCGGCAGCATCCATGCTCAACCAAGAGGCCCTTTACCAAGCAAAGAGGAGACATGGCGTTTTTATTGGAGGTGCTCCAACCATTGGCGTTTTCTGCCTGACAGTTTTGAACAGCTCTTTGCAAAGTACGAGGTCCCAGTGGCTACCCCTCGCCTTTGGCAGTGGAGCCCGTGCGGAGCTTGAAACAAATGCAGGCAGATTGCACGTGGCCGCTTAATTGACTCTTTACTCGTGGAACCCTAAGCCCTGCCCAGGTCCTCCTCAGCCGCCGCAGGGTGGCAGTTGGCACTAGTGAAGAGGCCTGGGATGATGGAACATCCTGCTGTGGCCCCTTCAAGACTCATGCAACGTTCCGCATTCAAAGCGCTCTCCAAAACATGTTCCCTCTTGGGTGCTCAATGGGCAGCATACAGCGGGGATCGTTGCAGGTGTAGCAATTTGGCACATGTCAGTGATGGCACCAGCCCTCATGCATGTCATAACCTTGACTTTGAAAATCCTTGCTTTTGGGGCCTTTGGTCGGATACTGTGTTGTAGGTGCTCACGGCCATAATGGTAAGATAACTTGAGAGGTGGTGGCGGTCTGGTGACGTGATTATGACTTTGGGCAAAACCGACCAGTGTGAAGAGCAGATAGCATTTCATCTGCAGCGAATGTCATGCAGGCCAAGCCAAAGCGCCAGATTCTCCTTCGCGAGGTGGCAGAGGCTATATCATGCTATATCCAAATGAAGGGCACATGAATTTACCTACTGTCGCAACAATGAGCGTCCACCCAGACCTGGATATTCCCACTATTCTACTTCAGTGTTGTATGGTGCACATTTGTTGTTGTGGCACGTGTTTTGTTGCAAGGCGGGGGTGGAGGGAAAGCCTGGTGATTTGCCAGGCAGAACGGCCAAGCAAGGCTACAGAGCAGGCCTAGCTGACTGATGGCTTCAGCTTGAACGATGTTGCAGCTTTCCCGACCAGAGTCATGAGATGGACTATTGCAGAGGCGTGCACTATTTACCAAGAGCTTATCACCGGGGTTCATTCATCTTGGGATGGGTTCTCTGGCGCTGGAGGAAGGAAGCCAGGGCCATTTGGGACCTTCATGGCCATGTTTAGGACATAGTCTAGTTGCGCTGGGAAACAGGCGGGTCCTGCTCGCCCAATGCGTCGATGGCAAGCAAAAGGCGCCAGGACAGTCAGCAGTTCGACTTTCTCCTACAAAGCAACTTCTGTAGACATGCAAGGTAAGCATTCGGACAACCCATGCAAAGCATCTTAATAGCGTGTGCGAATTAAGCATTAGGCAAATGCCTCTACAACATATTGACGTGTGTGAAACATGCTCGCTTCCAGGAACGTGGCTGCATGACATCGGCCCCAGCACCGCTTTTGTCCTGGGATGTGGTTGGCTTTGAGCTTGGGGATGGAATACACAGTCGTTCAAGCTGAGTCTCAGAGAGAATTTGATACCACTCCCACAGCCTACGTAGCATGGTCGACGTCAGCTGAAGGGCGTGCAACGACTGTAGGCCCGCGACATCAAAGCAAGAGTCCTGGTGATGGACTTCGCACAGGTCGTGCAAGCAATGGCTGTGGCTGTGTAGAAAGTCTGCTCGCATCAAGTTTTAACTGCTGTACAAAGAATGGATTTTCTGTTGTCCTGGGATCACTTCCCAAAGCTGCAAAGTGACCAGGTCACCGCATGCATTTCAGGCTCAGCGTAGCCCTGCTCAGACGTGATGCCGCACTTGTTTGGGCTTGTGTGTGCTCGCGAACTCTTGTGCACGCTGCATGCAAATTTTCAAGTGCCTTTGGCCTTCAAATCTGTGGAGAGAGCAAGCTCTCAAAAAGGCTGGCACGAGCCATACCACTTCTTCTCCATGTGTGGTATCACATCATGTCATGTTCAGTCTGGATATGCATGGCTAAGTCCACCCCCACCGCGTTGCAATCGAAAGCTGCTGTGTAGAATAGAGACGACTGCCCGACTGCCTAGGTCGTTATTCTCCCGACTACAGCCTGGGACGCATTTACGGCCTCATTGCGGGCCGGGATGCATGTGCTTGCGTGGGGAGTCTCCTATGCTGATGATGCTGTGAGCCTTGGAGTCACCTCGGCAGATTCGTCGAAATGCAAATCTGTACTGGCGAAATCTGGCGAAAAGCTTAAGCGGCAGATACAGTGTTGTGAGACGCCTCTACCCTGTCCTGTCCTGACTGCCAAGTCGACAAGCCTTTGCCAAAATCCAGCGGACCTGCACTAGAAGACCCCTGAGTTTGCAAACTCCAAATTGTTTGATCTGGCGTAAATAATAGGAGCGCGTGTAGATCATGATGCAACACTGTAGATCATTTCATTTTACAGGCTCCTTGCATTCCAGCGACGTTGCTGAACATGCCGGAAGGCCCACGAACATGAGACTGACCTGCCACTTGGGTCTCGACATTCCGGAGGGTTGCAGGTGCTCTGGATGCAACAGGGGAGCTTTTTGTTCGACACTGCAACTTTGCATGAGAGAGCCATGCTTGCTTGCGCCGAGGATAACTTGTGCTGGGGAGTCACGCCAGCCTCTCGGGCAAGTCGCGGCGGACATTCACCCAGAAAGTTCACTGTATTAGTTGTGTCCAGCATGACTACTAGCACATAACACATGTCCAGCACATGCACTGTTGTCCACCGAACTTATTGCCAATGCTTGTTGCCTGCCTGTTGCCGATGACACGTGGCGTGTAAAGAGTTTGCTCAGGCAAGTGGAAGACTGGGAAGTGCATTGTGTTCGACGATTCGTATGAGCATGAGGCTAGAGCTGGTGCTGGTGCTGTCATGTAGCTGAGCTTCTGCCAAGTGAGTAAAGTCCAGCGTAGACAGCCCTGAATCACGAGTATTTATAGGTGCCATGACTACATAAGCACTGAGTCGGGACACACGCGGCTCCTTGACCAAGCTTGCTTTGCATGCATTTTGAGATATTTTGAGGTCGTTCATGAAGGCAGCGAGCCACGAACTGTTCTGCTGGCTTGGACCTTATCCTTCCAGTCATAACATCAAAGCTGACGCATGCTTTGAGAAGATCCACTAGTCTGCGTTGGGCAGTGCACTGCCCTGTGTCGGAGAGCAGTGAGATCAAGAGATCCCACGCCAGTAGCACTGCAATTGAGGTCAACTTCTGGCATCCTGATATCCCGCCCAGCAGGCCGGTGTTGATGCAAACCTTTAAGCTGAGGCAAAGTCAAATGAGTTCCAAGTGTTATCATGGACTTCCCTCGTGAGGCGACAGGAGCTGCCCAGAGCTCAGGGGTGACAAACGATCATGTATGTTTTTGGGTGTGCGCGCATTCCATACACAAACGTAATGTGGCCCGATAGTTAGAGAAGGCGGGAGGGGGGTGATTGGAGCATGCCGCCGAGGAGAAAGGAGCTGGGCGGTTGAACCGGTCGAAGCTGCCAGCGCATTATTCGCAAGAAAAGCACGGCTCTGGACGCAGCTAGTAAGCTGAATTTGCAGCAGCGATGCACAGAAAAGCTTCGTGAACTTGTGCGAGTATGCACGCGTTCCCGCGCAGCTTTTTGAAGGAGGTGTTTAGTTTCAAATGGGTGGGTGAAATGAGCTTGTTCTCACTTAGCCATGGCATCAGCCAGCAACAGTTCAGGCAGCAAGCCCAGGCTAGAACCTGCAGAGCAGATGCTGAATTTCCCTCATTGATACCCACACAGCTGCAGCTGCGCGGAGATGTGTAGCATGTAGAAAGGCCAAAGAGCATGTGCTAGCATGACACGTAAAGAGCCATGCCTTATCCGGCGGCGGCTGAGCCGCAAGACTTCGCCCAGCGCACGGCACCAAGCGAGCTTTCGAACCAGATGCTTTGTGACAAGTGTGGGCTGAGAGCTGCAAGATGTGAGGACTTACACCCTTCGCTGCTCATGTCTATGCCCTGTCGCACGCCAAGTTGGTTTTCACGAAATATGTTGCATCATGTCTTGAACCCTGAGCTGCTTCATATCGCTTCATATTTCCGTACAGAAAGACGCCGCAGCAGGACAGATTCATCAGCAAAGGTGAAAAGCTGCTTCTGCCTTTCCTTCGGGCGAAAGACTTGCTCCGGTGCGCCTCTCTTCTGTCAGCTTGAGCACTATCGAGCATGAGGAGACTTACGGTTACAACGGTCACAGCCAGCATGTCAAAGGTACTCGGCAGCATGCCGCTCGTGCCACACTAGCGTTGGGCACCCGGCTGAGGGCTGGCTTTGTGATGTTTTATGATGTCTTTATGGTAGATGCAAAAAGCCTGAGCTAACTCTTTCCTGCTTGCATACTATATTGGGGTAATATTGGGGTTATATAAGGGATAATGGAAAACAAAATGGAAACTACTATAGTATATTGGGGTTATACTTTCTTTATAAGTAGTTTCCATGTTCTTTTCCATTATCCCTTTAAACCCCTATATCAACATACCCCTATATAATAGGGTAAGATTCAGCTAAACCCTAAACCCTAAACCCTGCTGTTGTGTTCCAACCACCAGTGCCTCGGCAGACGTAGAAGTCCTCTGGTGTTAAAAAAAAAAAAAAAACTAAACCCTAAATTCCTATATTAATTGGGGGTTATATAGGGCTGCAGTTGAGAAAACTTGCCTCGCCCTGCTTGGACCTACGCGTCAAGGGCCATTTTTTAAATAATCCTTGTAGTACCCAATATATAGGTTTAGGGTTTAGGGTTTACCCAATATATAACCCCAATATAACCCCTATAATCCTTGTAGTTTCCATTTTCTTTTCCATTATCCCTATATAACCCCAATATATTCCCTTATACCCAATTAATAACCCCATTTTTAAATATAAACTACCCTATAATCCCAGTTTCCATTTCATTTTTCCATTTTCTTTTCCATTTGACTCTCCATTATAGGGGGATGATAACCCATAAATTGAGTGCACGTAACACGGGGTGGCTTGCAAGCAGTCAGCCGGGCATTTTCCACAACGGCTCCTCTGGTCCCTAGACTCTGAATAGATCCTTCATTGGGAAATGGATGTTTGCCAAGGTGCAGCATATGTGCGCAAAATCAGCCAAGCCAAAGATGCGTTCCATAGATGCTACACTTCGTCAGCAGAATCGCGAAACAACCTGTGGTCATTTGAAACGACTCCTTAGGTACCGCCTGGGTTGCCGTCCAGCATTTTTCAGGTTTTTGGGGCTAGCAGGTTTTTAGAGCACTTCATATTGTTGCTGGCACCGCTCTGAGCACTTGGCGATGTCCAGCGAATTTCAGGAAAGGATGGCCTTAACAGGGACTTCAAGCTCCCAAGCTCTCATACATGCTGGCTTTCCGCGAGCATTCATGCTGGTTTAGATAGGAACGTTCGTCTTACCAGAGCATGCTGTTGCCAGAGCATACAGTTTCCCGGGCATCCATGCTGGCCAAGATTTTTTTTTTCGATCATGTTACCAGAGCATCCAGAGCATTTTACCTCCTGTAGCGAAGTACTTTCACAAGTGTCTTGTCAAATTCCCCAACTCTCACCCCGAAGTCATCCAAACAGCAACATCGGCCTAGCCAAAGCCATCGCATGAGAGTTCCCATCCTCCAAAAACATTCATTTTGCATGCGCAAAGGCCCTAAGTTCTGAAAATATCACTCAAAACGCTGACGTGGACTTTGCAGGCTATCTTTCAGTTTCAAGTGTCCGCATGGCTGCAAAAAGAAACACGTTTACCGTACCAGCATTCCCAAATAATTTAATGGATCACTTCTTTTCAGGCCCTTAACGTCCTGGAGATCCTTCCGAAACTACTGTGAAAATGCGACTTCTGCTTGAAAAGTAAAGCAATAAACCGTGCGGCGGGAAGTTCTTGCATTGGGGGCTAGGTACCTAGCCTGATTGGGCACATGCTCTCAGGCACACTGTGGAGGACGACTGGAGCTCTCCCGCGCCTGGCACCCTAAAGCAGCTGGACAAGGGCTAATCGTACAAACTGAATGGGCCTCATGCAGCCAATGTTTCAGGCATACCAGTGAGCTGCAGATTGTACGCACAAGCCATGACGTCTGGCCCCGCAGAGGTGGCGCACTTTCCTGACCACCTCGGCATTCAGCTCAGTTGGTTCAGTGCAAAGGGCAATGGAGAACAACAAGCTTACACGTGCATTGCAAAAACGATATTCATTTTCCGTAGAAAGGGTAACACCGGCATCAGAATTCAATGGCCCCATGAGCAAGAACACTGTACACACTGGCATGGGAACCAGATGTGGCTGCCGTTTGCTGCAATTGGACCTTTGCAAATGCCTTCGCCACAATCGCATGGTTTTTCCCCTTCCACCTAGCAGGGGATTTCTCAACAGCATGTTGTCCTTGCTTTGGGTCCTTACGAGGGAGAGTACAGCTTTGGAGATCATATGCCGTTTAGGGCCGATTTCGAGAAACAAATCCAATCACAGGAGGAATGAGCTTGAGGCCTCACAGCTGCTGAGAGCCTGCCTGGGCGTCTCCACTTGGCTTCCATCCGCAGCCATGGCCCCAGGTGATGAAGACCCTCCTCCTGACCAATATGTAAAGCCATGTCAAGAATGCTATAAGTGCCGGAGTCTTTGCTTGAAGTGCCCCGTTCAAGCTGTCATGCTTCTTTTTTGGGAGGACATTATGACGAGTGTCGATTTCGTTCATTAGCGCGTAAGAAGGCGCATGCCACAGGTGGTGAAAGGTCCTTTTGCGGTGCTCTTGGATCCAAATGGACTTCATTCAGCGCTTGATGCCTGTCTGTCTGTAATGCGCATCTGCAAGGCATAGACACTGAAAGCAGCGCGGCAGATGTTGTCAGCGACCTAGACCTTGCTTGTTGCTAAGGTGCTAGAGCTAGCTGCTGAAAGACAAGCGCGTGCCAACTAGTGAAGCACATGGCCGACTGAGGTTACGAAGCTCAAAGAAACATCGCGGCGACTGGTTTGCAAAAGCAAAATCATCGTGACCATTTCTTTCTATAGCGGTGGCTTGCGCTGAAACATCTTCTGCCAAGGTTTCGCGGCGAGACATCTGCCTCCGACTCTGAGACTCCCCCACTTGCAGAGTATCCACTCTGGCGTTTCATGGCTGCTTGGCGGCAAAAAGTCACAACACGCAAGCAGCTTCACAGCACAGCACAAGTCAGATTTCGTCACGTGTATTCACGTGTGATCAGGAATCACGAAGCCTTTGCTCCAAACCTTTGGGGATGTCGCGGTAGCTGCAGTCGAAGTTGCATGCTGGGCCGCCTGTGCACAGGTCGGCCTCAACCGCGAGGTGGTCCTAAGCCGCCACCAACGGCCCCAGTCTCGTTTGTATGCACGATCAAGCTGAAATGACATGCGCAAAACGGGGCCTAGTGACTTCAAGCCAGGTGTTGCTAGATTTGTTAACGGACCACGCTGGGCCACTGTGCCCAGACAGCCCGACATTGAATACAAGTACCCACTTAGATTCGGGATGTGCCAAGGTCAGCATCCAACGCGTTGCTGCCCAAACTTCACACCGTGAACTTGATGCCGGGGCCAAAGCATGCCTTGACATGGCCATCCCTGGCAGCATTGTCCGGGAAACCGGAAGAAACTACAGAACTTAAAGTGCCACGCCTCTCGCATTTGGCGCAAAGCGCATGGAGCTCAAAAAGCCGCAGTGCCACTTCGAATGCAGAAAGCTTTCGTGTTCGTTTTCGCAGTCAATCTACACATTTCATATATCAGAAAACACAAGCTGCGACGTGAACTCAACTCTGGGGTTCGTCAGTAGATTCACAGATGTAGTTTGCATGGCTGCACATTGTTGCGTTGAAAAGTGAACTTGTGCCTGATGTCGTTCTTCCTTGGACAAGCTTCAAGTTGAATTGCTGACGAGGAGCCTGCAGACAGGCCTGGGGAGGATCTTTTCTGGGCGTGAACTCGTGGAGCAGATGGCCTGGAGCCCTGCGATACTTCGTATGGTGCAGGCAAAAGAGACGCTTGCAATCTGAGACATAGAGGTCGTTGAGCTTGGGCTTTTCTACTGTGAACACCAGAGGTTGCAGCCCTGCTGTGGGAAGCACCAAGGCCGAGCTTTCCATCATGCTGCATTAGATTACTTGCCTCGAAAAGTATGTGATGAAGACTGTCAACTTGGGGGTCCTTGCCCAGCCTAAATCTCCCAATCTCGCAGCCACCTGCCGTGCAGCCCACATGTTGTATCAAGGCAGGAAGTATGGGGTGCGTGCATGTGTTTGTACATGCTTGTGCTGGCTCCCGGCCAGAGGTTGCGGCAGATGCAATTGCCTCAGCACCTTTGCTTGCATCCCCAGAAGCTGCAGAAGGCGCTGATGGAGTGTTTTTGTTGATTCTGCCAGGGGCGATACTTGTCTGTGCTGTCATCCGTAGGCACTGAGACAGCATGCTGGTCAAGCGGATGTCTCGAGAGCGCGAGGCTTATCAGTCCACAGATCTTCTCCGAGCAGCTGAAGACCCCGGAAACACTCTAACTGATATAGAGCCAAGTGTTGCATGTGCTGTCCATTGCTGTTCAACATGCATATCCGTATCAGCCTCCAATTATGTAGTGCAGGTGACGGCCCTCTTGCTATTGAACACCTAGTTTGATGCCCAAGCTTGGGGCACAGCCGAATTGTCTTTATAGAGTGAGGCTTTGTGTGGATGGCTACCAGCAGACTCTACATCTTCCATGCCCCGGCCTCGATGTTAGCTGGAAGCCTTTCTCTCTGACATGTTTTGACTTGCGACCTCAGCGCCCAGCTTTGCGCGAGAGAGTGGCATTGCTTTAAAGGCAGAGGCTGGCAGGGAGCAGACACTTGAAATTTAGATCAATAGCGCTGTTTGCCCTTGAGCTGTGAAGAGGGGATAGCTTGAAGTCGCCTCGTGACAAAGGAGCTGTTGCCATTTTGCTTTCCTAGGCAGACAGCCGATTTGCTGGACGCGATGGCCATCCAGTCCCCACAGGACATGCAGTCAATCGGGCCTGAAGCTGGCCAGCCCTCCTGGGTAACTTTTTTTTTCTTCGAGGAACCTGTGCGGTTGCGAGAGGCCCATGCCTGTAGAGCCAGACTGTTGCCAGATCACCCCCTGATATTACAGAAAAACGATGAAAAAGCGCTACATTCTTCCGGTCGCCACTATGAGGCACCTGCCATGATCCTTGCTCTTCTTCTGGTTGATACTAGAGGTCCGCCACCCAAGCTTGTTCCGCATGCCATGGTTGGATCAAGCACAGACTAGGCAGAAGGGAAGCAAATATTGCAGATCATTCTGGCAACAGGCCTTTGACCCTTCCAGCCCTGTCAGTTCTGTACAGGGGGCTGCAAGCAAGTCAACGAACCAACCAGGTGCATTAGTCATCAGTCACCCCTAGCTTGCACTGCTAGCTTAGCGTAGCTGTGTCTATACAGCGCCACAGCGCGCACACCCTCAACTTGGGCTATGCCAGAGCCGACGGCAGAAGAAGTGGCCGAAGCCTCCGCCAAAATGGCTGAGGAGTTCGAGGCCCAGGCAGCAGACATGCGGCAGTACTGGGAACAGCGTCTTGGCCCTTCATATCTTGGCTTCCTGCCCGTGCTCCATTTCTAGCCTCTAGCCTTCCTTTGGCCGAGACGCTGGAAGAGTCCAGGTCCTTGGGCCGAGACCTCCGAGAGAAGCTCCTGACGCTCGCAGAGCGGCGGCCTGCGGATCCGACCAAGCTCTTGGGCCAGGCACAGGGTAGCCCTCAACCCGCGCAGTACCCCGATCCCTCAGTCATCCTCAGTCGCTTATTGCCACGGTGTCTTATAACTGCATGAGAACACCGGTACTAAGTGGTGCTGCAAGCTGTGAACTAGGCGCTTGCTGGAAAGAAGAGTGTTGGCGAGATGGTCCGCGGCTGCAGTAATAGTAGCCTTTCAACATCTTTCGAGGAGACTTGTATGCAATTGTCCGTTGAAGTGTGATCCTGACATGCACTACAGTAGCTACGCAATCAGGCAAGTGCGCCGCAAACCACGGACCCGGCCCTCAAGTCTGCGCCTCCACGCGAGTTCTTGAACAATACGGTGGTCCCATCTTTAACATCCGTGCCCCGATCGGATTGTGTCTTCTAATGCGATGTGTTCATGGTAGAGTATGATCAAAAGCCAGCTAGGCCTGGCCGTGTATGCGATACATCGGAAGCATGTCGAACGGAAGGATTCTTAATCTGAGGCGTTGATGGAAGTGCACAACAAGGGTTCCCGGCGGGTTGTGTCAGACTTGGGGGAGATCCTGATGAGGTAATGAGAAGCACACTTTGTTTTGCAGACAGATGGGCAAGTCTGTCTGGTCTCACCTCACATGCAATCATGTGAGCAGGGATGTCTCATTCCTGGGCCTGGTGACGAATAGTCATCAGTCATCAGGAGAGATTTGGGACAGCTTTATGCCAACTCGCCAGTCTTTCCTGTATCCATATCCGTTCCTACAAGCGCGGTGGACTTCGCCAGTCAAAAAGGCAGTCACCTGTCAGTTGTCGTCTAATTTTCAACGGTAGCGTCGCAGAGCCATGCTAGACGATGTCGGCTGCTAGAGGATGCGGACATAAAGTTGACTCGTCACGTTCCTCAGGCATGCTACAGATGTCCGCTCAAACTTCTCAGTTCTAGATCTGCCATGAAGCACAACATAAGCATGTTGTGGGCAAGCACAGGCATGATTGGGTAAATCGCCTTGAGTGAAGGACGCATTCCTGGCGGGCCAGTTCGCGAGGAGTCTGACGCCAGGGGCCCATAATCACCTGCGCGTGCCTTGCTGGAGGCTGCGCAATGAAAGCCTAACCAGGATTTGCAAGAATTGGCCAAGGAAGCCAAAGTGTAGAGGCATCAGTTACACGTACCCTCGCTGCGGCTTACGGCCATTCGGCACCCGAGGGCCATGCTGTATTACAGTTTGCCCTTGCAACTGCAGCTGCTGGGAGTAACAGCCGTGGAGCGGTGCGCAACGGATGCGCTCTTGAGGCGGGTACGTCAGCTGATCGCTGTTCGAACGCTGAGCTCGCAGGCGGACCCTGCTTGGCCACACCAGGCAGACAGTCCTGAGCAACAAAGCTTCACCGTTGTGTATACGGGCCTCTCCTATCCTGAGAGGGTTAAATGCTTTCATGCAACCTTTATCTGCTCATCTAGCTAGACATGGTCGTGGAACATCAGCAGCCAAGCGGAGTTGAGCAGCGGATGTGCCAGTTGGCGAGGCAGAGATCCGACGTGCCTGGGACGAACCGCTTGGGAATGTGGAGGAGGCGCCTGTGGATGCTTGGCATCGGGGCGTTGCATGGGCGTTGCATTCGTGACATGAGCGACTCTGGCAATTGGCGCCGTGTCTGGAGAACAGTTCACGGTGTCAGTTTGTGAATCACTGACTCCACTGATAGCTCTTGTGCTTCCTGTCGCTGGTGACTCACCGCAGCATCCATAAATTGTGATGTTGTTCATGCACCTCTGGGACTGGCTCCAGATAGCAGGTAGATTCCAGCTGAACATGCGCAATCAAGGTTAGATCATCAGGGCAGTCACCCTGCTTCCACCATGCGAAAGAAGAAGACTCGAGCTGTTCAACGCGGCTGGAATCACATCGAGCCCAAGGGCAGACTCAAGAACCCCAAGCCCAGCCATGCGTACAGCTACGCAGACATAGTCTGCCCCAGCATAGACCTTAAATTCCGCAACACTGCTCGCCGTTCGTAGCTGCATGCGACTCCGTTTACAGCTCGCTTGGCGCCGGTGGCTGACACTTGGCCGGATAAGGAAGAAGCTGGGAGTGGTGTGCATTTAGTAGGAAGTTCTTGGGAGTGCTCTGCCTGGCTGTGAAGATTCCGAGCCCAAGGCCCACAGCTTGCCTTCTGTGCCTGCAATGGCAAGGCGTTTGGAATTTGTTTCTATCATTGGCTGTCCATGTTGTTCCACATCTTGGTATTTATTGTACAGAGATTCCGCAGACCTATGGGCCATGGAAAGCTCGTGATGAAAATTTGTTAGGTGGCTTTGCGGCAGAACTTTCCCGCGAGCTCTGTGGTGGAGTTGAGCCGTCTGCGGCTTGCTCAGGAAGGTGGGTGCATGGCAGAGCACCTGGCCACGCCTTGTCTTGTAGCCGAGGCCTGGATCTCCGAGTCTTGGAAATCTCGTGGGTACCACGTTCTTTGCTTTGCTGCCGGCAGCTGCAGCAAAGGCGCTGCTCTTTTTGCAGATGTGTTTGCAAAGCTCCAGGTCCAGCATTTGAGGATTTGAGGGTGCGAAGCCTGTTGAGAGTTGCGCAGGAGCTGAAATCGACGATACAACGAGTGATAAGAATTGCGCCGCGAACATTGATGCAAAGGTGCACTGGGAGTCCTGGGGGCCACGGTTACAAGCGGTAGAGATTCTGCACAGAAGTGATGACCTCTAAATTGCCTCTGCTGTCCTGTGCTCACCTGTGACCTATGACGGCTGCAGATCTGCTGGTCTGGATTTCGTGGTGCCTCTTGCCTGCAACAGAAGCGCGCAAAAATTGACCGGGAGCAAGGTTGTTGTCCTAGGATACTCACAACTCCTTTCAAAGCTGCCAAAATGAGCCCCACAGCTTGTCCATGGAATCCCTTTCGCAACATTACCCTTTCTGCCCTTTGACTTGGGCCATCAATGCCTCTGAAGCCTCGTATCCTTCTGCTTCTTGCATCCAGGACTGCGAGGACGCGGCTGCATGGCGCATCATGGCGCACACTGCACATGTGACCAGCTTGCTCTAGCTCTACCCTTCAGTCCTTTGGTGCTGACCTGTCGCAGGATTTCAGTGGCTTGTCTGGCGCGTTCGAGCAACAAGGCAAACAAGGCAGGTCTTGGATTTGCCAGGCGGCAGTTTGAGCATCGGTCAGTGTAACGTGTCCACCGCATGTTGCTGCGCAGTAGCAGGTTTGGTTGCGTTGCAGGATCTGTTGACAGCAGCAGCCCAAGTCCTCTCAGATCTGAGAATGGTCGGGGGTCATAAGGTGAGAAGGTAAGTCATGATCGGTCTAGGGCTCGCTGGCAAGGCAAAGTTGCTGCCTACAAGTTGACTGCATTGAACCGTGTAAAACCGCCACATCCTCCCCGTACCCACCTTGCAAAATCCCGAATGGCCTCCACCTTGTGGATTGGAGTTGGGTTCCAGGCAAAGCGTCCGCCAGTTAATCAGTGGAGATACGACGCCCTCATGAAGGAGGGCACTGGGCTCGGGGCGGGTTTAAGCTACGTTGCTGCCAAAAAAGTTTCCCACTCTACTACGGGTGTCTCAAATCATTGCGACCCAGCTTGGTTGGCTCAAGCGAGACCTCTGCTGAATGGCAGCACAGACACAGCCTTTGATGCAAGTCCAAGGCCGGAATTGAGGCAAACTTACAGTTTGCTCAGCAAAGAATCGAACTTCTGGAGTTCTTCAGCTGTACAAAGCGAACAACCCCCAACAGCTCCAACCTAAATTGTCGAGATTGGTACGATTGGAAGTCACATGTGGTTCCGCAACATGAACCTGGAACTTTGAAATCTTTGCACTCACTGCCCATAGAGGTCTCCATGCAATTCAGAGCTGTGCGGCCGGTGATTTCGCGACCACCGCCTGAGGCACGCCACCGCGACGCGATAGGTAGAGGTCAGGAAGCTTTTGGAGCTGTGGGCAACGGGCAGGTTGACAGCCTCGATGCGTTCTCCCAGCGGCAGAAGCTGATCGTGCAGCGTGAGCACTGGAAAGCGAAGGCTCCCATACTGGAGACTGGAGCACAAATCCAATTTGATAGCGATGTTTGCCTCTGGTTTCCTTGCAGTTCGCATGCTGTTTCTGCATTGCTTGTGCAGCCTGACCCACTTCTCCCAAAAAAGAAGCAGCATGATATTCGAGATCCTGCGCTTGTCACGAGGTCACTTCTAGACCAGAAGATGCTGCAGCGTTTGCACGGTATGGTGAGGCGTGCGCCCAGCTGGACGAGGCCCGCACCACGAGGCATCGCAAACATTCACAAACATTCGCCATGGTACTTTCGTAGGTGGCGAATCTCTTCCGCTTTGCGCAGCAGCTCACAGCGCAGCACCCAGAAGCTTGGAGACCGGCAGTGGCGACCCTGAAGGCGCCTGGATAGGAGCATGGTCAAGCAAGGCTTGGTGATCAGGCAGTCTATCGGTCTATCCGTTTTTATAGCTCGCGTTTCCGAATTAGAGGAATTATAGTCATAGGGATTATATTCCATTATTCCCTACCTACCCCAATATGCACTCTATTACAATGTCGTAGTTTCCATTTTGTTTTCCATTAACTACCTGTGACCATGTCCACTTTTGCCAGGTCCTGGCACCAGACCGAGCAGAGGACGGATAGAAGGGGTTTAGGGTTTAGGGTTGTAGGATTTAGGGTTGCTAGGTTTGGGGTTTACGGTGGTGAGAGATGGGGTTCTTGATTCAGGCTCTGGCACACTTCTCTGGTCTTGGGTTTTGACACGGCTTCCCCGAGTTTCCAGACATGTCAACCCTCGACATCTCACACATATTGAAAGTAATGAGTGGAAGTGAGGAAGCCGGTGCTTCGAGTACTTTGCTCATTTCGTCGGCTCATCTGGCAGGATCTCCTGCTTGGCGTGCTCCACCTGCGGAATGTGGACAACATGAGTCGTGCTGAGGCGGGTCTACTTTGAGGCATACCACCTCCACAAGAACACAAGTAGCCATGCAAGCTTGACGAGAGCCTGTAGGGCTAGCAGATCTTTTGCAAAGTGACACGGATGTTGAAATATCTCCAAGGCTTGCAGCCAGTTGGGCCAACTGCGCCCACAGGCGCTCGAGCACAGATGTGCAGACATGTAGGCACCAGGATCATCAGACAGCATCAAAGGGTGCTGGCGAGCTTTTGTTCATAATATGCGTCATTTGGCATATTTGATGTTGCTCAGGTTTTTGTCAAGGTTGGTTGCGGAACTAATTAGCATTAGATATTGTACACTAGCCGCGTTACATTTTAAAGTGAGGCTTGCCCAAATCTATTTGCATGACGGGATGCAACTTGGAACGTTGGACCATACCCGTTCAAACCTGCAGGAAGCAGAGAAGTGGTATCGGCAGGCACGAGTTGAGCCACGCATGCGTTCGTACCTTCCTTCAGCAGTAAACAGAGTTCGCAGCTGCAAGGCTATAGTTGCTCGTGTACAGTAGGGCCAGCCTTTCCGAGTTGTCCGCAACGACATGCTAGTGACACATGAGCGATGGCTACTGACCCATTCAAGGTTGTTGCAATTCAGCTCTGGCGCTCCCGAACTCAAAGCCTAGCCAGGCTTTATCCCTGGACCCCGCCAGCTCTGCCGCACTGCTGCTGGCGGAGGTGCAATCGGACCAACCCGGATTTGCTATCTACTGTAGCGGTGGAACCAGAAGGAGCCTGTCTTGGATTCTGCAAGAGCAAGGACAAAGAGTTCCAAAGACCTCGGGCAAAAAGCTGGTCAACTCGGGTCCATCGGCGGGGCTGAGATGCATAATTCGTTTGTGAGTGTTGGGGGATGTCTTGTGAACGTGACCATGAAGAAAAGTCCTATACCCTAAATGGGAACCGCAGACCGCAGTATGCCAGAAGCCAAATACCCTTTCCTTGTCAGCCCATTGTCAACCCAAGCAACTACCAGGCCTGCGTGGAATTTGATCCAGTGGACTTGACCCAATCTCAAGAAGCACTGTACTTGAACTTCGGCATGACCAATCATCTTGCAGACCAGGCGCTTAGCGAGTCTGGACGTCTCACCGAAGCGGCAGTACCATGGCCTTACCTTCATAGAATCTGCTAGACTTTCCGAAACTTCGGAAATGGATGCAGGTTGCTTCATTGCAAGCATTTGGGTTGCTAGAGATCCTTGCCTCTGCAAGAGTCCGTCGCTTCAAGCTAATGGTGTGGGAATGCAGTGTGGGCGCACGGCCATGCCAAGGAGATGTTCCAAGCGGCAAGCCTGAAGCATGAGCTCAAGCCACGCCATCTCTTCCAGTACGGCGAGGCGCGCCCCCACTACATGGGCCAGTGAGACAAACCATGCTATGACGAGGCACCGTTTGCCCGCAAACTAGGGTATCGAACTCCTCTGCATGATGGTTGCGTTTTGACTCAAACGAACCCGAGGCACTGGTGCTCTCCGAGAACCTGGACTCCGGCCGCGCGTTGCTTCGAAAAGCAGCCGAGGCATGATGCCTGAAGCAACACATGCCTTGGCCTGTGGGACTTGCGGATAGGGATTGGCGCTGCAGGTGGACCCGTGCTTTGCTG